GACTTCAGGTGGGGCCGGGGGTGAGGGAAGGTCGGCCCCCGGCCCCGGGATGGAGCCTGGGGCGGGCCGACCTTGGCGAGGGCGCCTCGTCCTTGGGTCTCCTTCCCCGGTGGCTGGCCCGGCCCGGGAGCATCGCCGTCGGGGCAGTCTGCCCTCCTAGCCGTCATCTGTCTGCCTTAGACTTCGGGGTGCCTTTTCTTTTCTTCCCTCTTCTCCGGATAAAGAAAACCGAGCTAATTTTACCTCGTCGAGAGAGAACAATTGGCTTTTAATGCCTCCGCAAGAAGGAAATGGCTATATGTGCGTTCGTGATTAAATGCTCATGATGTATTTATTAGGTGCTGTACAAATAGCACTTAGACTAAGAGGCTTTTAACATTTTCTTTACGCAAATAGACAGTCTTCCAGTTGCTGCCAACCACAGCTGGTGTGCCACCCTTGCGATGTTGAATTCGGCTCCTGTTGTAATGGATCGGCCGGAGGTGCCACATCCGGAGCTGCCAGCTTTAGCTCTGGCAGGCGGGCGGACTAGAGCAGGCTTCTGCTGTATCTTTACGTGAGCAGAATTGGGTTGTGGGTGCGCATGGATAGGTATTTTCTGCTCCTGAGGCACCAGGCAACTGCGCAGTGCTTCAAACGCGGAGGCTGAACCAGGTCCTTCTCCCAGAGCGCCTGTACCTATCCGCCTAGGACTGATTTCCATTTGCGGAGTCGATCTGCAGGCTGATGATCTGATTCCTCTGTTATAAACCTACCTGTTGCGGGAAGCTTTCTTGTTCAACCCTGTTGTGCTCGGTTGCTAGGCCCGCTGTGCATTTTCTGAGACCTCGGAGTGGTTTTGACCTTTAAGGTGTCTTTGGTGTTAAGAGCATCCTGGCTGGGAACCTGATTAAATAAGCTACCTCCCAGCGTTTGCCTTCTGATGTTACAAAACTCAAAGGCGTTACGCTGCAGACAACAGCATTAGTGTTTGGTTTGTTACAACAGCACCTCCTATGACCATGCTCTGGAAAAAATTTCCACACGTCCCTGACGTCACAGCCATTTGCTTTACGCTGCCTGGATACCAAAGAGTGCTTTTAACTCCTGGAGTACCGCGTTACCACACCGAGCTCTGCCCTCCAGCCCCGGCTGCCTCCCCTGCCTCAGGTGCACGTGAGGAAGACGAGAGGATGGAGTGCCTTTCTGACAGCGTCTCTCAGCCTCCGTGTCACTGGCTGTCCCTCCTGCTCGCCCGTCTTTCATAGACTTGAAAAGAAAGCAACCAGAACCGCCTGCTTTCAGTGGGAGGCTTCTCCAGTGATGAAGTTTTTTTTATGATGGAGCTGGGGAGCGAGGAGGAATACTTCTGCCTGCCGCTTCTTCAGCTTCCCTTGTAGCTTGTCACTTCGAGTCCTTCAAATAAACCACCTCTTTTTTGTTTGCAATTAGATGAGGACAGTCCGAGATCAAGCAGGCTCTCTTTCAAGTACTCTTTGGCCTCTCCGCTGGCCTGCTTGTTCCTGCAGCCTGATTAGCATAGAGTTGCTTGGCATGGGCTGGCTTATCCTTCCTGTAGGTGGCCTGGTGATGCCTAGTACAGCATGTTACTGTGCAGTTAATCAGTTGAGATAATCCTTGTAAACTGGTAACTGATACCCAGAGTCTGAGCCATGCTGCATCTCCAGGCTCTTAGCCACTCCCCCCTAAAATTATTCTAGGCATGTCCCTTTTGACCAAAACTATATTCAATCTTTCATTATGTAATTCACTTTTTAATTGGTATGAGCAGTCCTGGAGTGCCTTTGTAGACATACAAGGCTGGTAAACGTGCAGTACTGTGACATGTCTGAGTGCTTTCCTACATTTGAGATTGAGCATTGGAGCTAATTTGGGCCCAAATTCTGCTCCCATTGTCTTTAATGGAGGTGATAGCGTGAATTACTAGGGGAGGTCCAGCTTTGCAATTGCTTGTAAACCGGAATGAAACATTTACTGTAGACTCTCCTGGAAACAGCTTTGAGGCCCAGAGCTTTGCGGAATGGGTGTCCTTCAGAGCACACCCGTGGTATGGCTTCTTGCTGTTGGGCCCTTGCTTCGCTGGATGTCTGTCACCTGTGATAGCGTGCGATGGTGGTATTGGGTCAGCCAAGGGATCTTTTAAAATATGGAAGAACATTGTTTAGTCTTCATGTTTTACAATCATAAATCCTTATTTATGGATTTCTAGGTTTTCAGGGGCTCATGCTTCCAGTCCTCCAAACAACTGGAGTGAGTTACATTTTCTGTCTGCATCAGGGCATAATCTCGCTGTTAAATATATGGCTCTGCAACAGGGCTTGCCATCTGAATTCAGTGTGCTGGGCTCTTCCTTGCAGGTGGCAAAGGTTGGAAATTTTGTCCTGAAATGTGACTGCCTTGAGGGCTTGATTTGATTCTTCTCTGTTTTCTCTTGCAGTTAAGATCCTCCTCTTCTATGTCATCTTCTACGGTTGCCTGGCAGGTATATTCATTGGGACCATCCAAGTGATGTTGCTCACTGTCAGTGAATTTGAGCCCAAATACCAGGATCGAGTGGCACCTCCAGGTAACTAAATAGGAGGCCCATGTTTGACTTGGTGCAAGCTGTTCTGGGGAGGCGGGTTGGTTACTCACCTCAAGAAGGAGGATGAAATAAGCATGTCGTTGCTGCAACACATATTTGTAGGGGGTGGGTATGTTCTCAGCCTTCTGTGTTAACAGTACTGAGGCTTGAAGGCAATCCTGCTAGAATTAAAGGTTGCATCGCATGAAATATGCCTCCTGTCTGACAGGAGCTCAAACCTGGTTTGCTCTTCCCTTCCCCTAAAACAAAGCGATGGAGTAAGGCTAAGAGGCTTCACTTGGGAATGAGTTGTATGAAGAAGCTGAATTCAGTTTTTTTTTTTTCCCTAGCCACTGTGTTCCCATGGGTAAGTGAAGGGACAAAGGTAAAATGTTAGCTTTATCGGTGAATCTGCAGTGCACAAGGAGAAAGGGGACGGTACCAACTCTGGGTGTGCTTACTGAATTGTATTAGCCAACACTGAACTACACGGTGTGATGTAGAGGAGATGGTTGCATTTACTAATGGGTATTTCAATTGAATGTGTTGTGGGAGGTTAAAAGCAGGTCTTGTAGTTGCTGATGCATGACCTATAAAATAAGTCTCTGCTCAAAATTAAAATGATCAGTTGAGCAGTGTCTATGGCCAGCCTGCCTTGGGTGGGGGCAAATGGAGTAACTAGCCCTTGCCGCAGGTTTCCCTGCTCTGCCTGTCCTGGCTCTGCTGTGCTATCTGATTCCCGCCGCAGCCAGAGGCAGCTCGGAGCGTGGGGGGGAGCTGCGCAACTGCTGCTTTCCCACATTACAAATGACCTTGAGGCTGGTTGGCACTGGGGATGGTAACGATCTGTCTCCAGTTGCTCTGTAAAACAGTTCAGAAGCTTTTAATAACAGTGGTATTTAAGTGACAATTGTGAGGCTGATGGCTTGTAGCTACAGAAGTTGGCTCTAGTGTCTTAGAGCCCCACTGTCTGCAGTGCTATGCTGTGATTATTCCCTGCTCTAACAACACGAGGAACGAGGAACGTTACCATCACCAAATGGTGTTTTATCTCGGCAAAGAAGCATCTTTTTCAGATAACTGCTTTTCCACCAGCTCTTTTTAAAGACAGAACAGAGACTGGAACTGCTGTGTTAGCATGTGACACTTCTTAATGTACCAGCATGGCTGGGGTAAATGCTGTCTTAAGCACTGAAAGTGGCTGTTTCTGTCTCTGCAATGGGCTCTGACATTTGCAGGAAAGACTAAACTGTCACTGATACTGCCCAGAGCCATTAGCTGCATCTGAAAAGCCAACATGCCTAACGGTGGAGTAGTTGTTACTTTAATAATGTGTTTTTCCCCGGCCGAAGCCCAGTGGTCTCACCAGACATGAAATAATTAGCGAAGAAGCCCATGGATCTTGGGTCACATCCAGATAGACCTGCTGTTTAGCCTGATGTCACATAATTACTCATTCTAGGTAAACTGTTCGCTTTCTGTGTAATAGCAGTTTGCGATTCCAATTTCAAAGCAACTCTGTGGTAAAATTTCTGTGTAAGATTTCAGCCTGCAGAGGCTTTTTATGCATCTTTTAATTGCATGCTGCACCAGTTTTTCTGGGGCTTACCCTTTTTTTAACCAAAAGAAGGAACTGAATTTTGAGACCCTCTTGTAGCATGTACTACAGAAATCAAAATGGAGGAAGAATGAAAAGGTCGTCGGGGATCTTTGTAATGGGCTTTCAGGACGTGTACTGAAATCACGGGATCCCGCTCCTTGAAGATATGACAGTAGGGAGCCCAATAAACAAGGGTTTTGAACCATGCTGTAATGGCACATGCATACAACTTCAAGGAAACAATTACCAGTTAATAGCACAGGGTCTTTTGCAGGGCATCATGTGACAACTCTTTCTACAGATGAGGACAAGCTGGGGGTAAGGCGTGGTGGAGGTTGGCTCTTAATGTGGAGTAAGTTCCTCATCCTCTAGCACAGCAGCCATTATACCACAATGAGTCAAAAATAGCCTTTTAATGTAGGCTTTCAGAGGGACTGACACTGTAGTGAGTTGCTGCACCGCTGTGTTCGGCAGGTCAGCAGTCCCTGTATTCCCCTGCTGTGCAGGGCTCTCCCCTGTGCTGCAAGCACAACTGCTTTTCTGACAACGAACACATGCGTGGGCATGTTCACTCCTGCACTTGGTGAGCATCAACTCGAATTTTTTTGTGATCTGGGACCCCTGCAGACTATGAACTACATAAAGTAGGGTGGTGTGCAATTCTAATTCCTGGTTCTTGTGGGAAGATTTGCAAGCCAAGTAAGTATATTGGCAGCTTGATAGGGCCTTGGATTTTCTAGGAAGCTAGAAAACCTGGTTTTATTCTTGTTACAGTGCTCTGTCCTTCTTGGGCAAGTCACTGTTGTCAGCCCAAAATGGCTGGGAAAGAGGAAACTACACTTCCCTTCAGGATTTACAGGAGAAAATGCTGTAGGGGCTGCTATGGTACCATTCTTGTTCTGAAATACAACAGATTTTGTAACAGCAACAGAACCTACAGGATGTTTTATTGAGTTATTGACATAGGTATAACATTGAAAGCCATAAAGTGCTATTTTTGTAGCCAAGTGTCATTAATATGCTAATTGGTTTCTGCATTGAACACAACAGGAATGTTATACAGGGCTTCAGGGCAAGCTGAGTTTTGTACCTTCCCATGATACTTCCCCCCCTGCCCCCTCCTCTTTTGTCTTGAGGTGGGGGAAGGGACAGTGCAGCTCACCTTCTTGTCCAGCCTTGCCATTGTATTGTGACAGCCCCAGCTCCCAGTTCCATGTGTGCTGCCGCCTCAGACTATGCTTTAAGCGCAGAGGACTTATCCTGCTACTAGGGAAGGGTGAGAATATTGCCTCTTAAACAGTGTACTGTGTTTAAAAAATAATTCTTCATTCTCCTCCTCTTCCCCACCCCAATGTAAATTGGGCTGTGTATCCTGCCATCTTGTGGTGTGCATCCTGTGAAACACAGCATCCCATCACTAGGGCTGGTGTAGGGGGGAGAGCTCACTGCTGCCTGTGGCTCTTTTTAAGTGGCAGCTGGCAGGAAGAATCCCTGCTCAAGCTAGGGGATTTCAGGTGTCCCTGCTCCAAGTGCTGCCTGTCCATGATGTGTCATGGAAAAGGCTGGTCTGGTGTGAATTCCCCACTTGGCTTATTTAGCTTGTATAGCAGTGGGGAGGTAGCAGGAAGGCCCCAAGGAGTATGTGCTGCCTCCTGTGAAGTCACACTTTTCTGCTTTTGTCTTTTGTTGTCTCAGCACCTCTGTTTGGAAAAAATCTCTGAATCTCAAGCTCCAGGGATGTTACCTGCCAAGCAGATTTTGCTGCATTTTTAGAAAACTTACGCCTGCTTTTTGTACTTTGGGGATGAGGTAGAAGGTGACTGGAAGCTTGGAAGGACATTGCTTGGTATGGAGGCTTTTAAAGCCTATCCTCATTTAGTGAGCTGGGGGTGGTGGTAAACAGGAATGGTGTAGTGATAAGTCATTTTGTCATCTGTGTCATCCCCGGAGTGTTCAGACTCATTCTGAACCAAGATTACACGGTACTTGGAAGTGAGCATTGCGTGATGAAGCAAGAGTGGTTACTATGGACTTACACAACCATTCCTAATAACAAGCCTGACTTCCCACTTCTAGCTTCTCCATCTTCACCCTCAGGACACTTTTTCCTGAACTCTTGCTCTTCCAGTGTAGAATGATAAAGTCTGCATGGAAAATCTGGTTTTAAATGAACTTGAATAAATGTGACTTTAATCTGCAACAGTGGTTTGGAAGTGGAACTGTAGCTTAAAAAAAAAAAAGAAGAAACCAATGAGTTTACATGCCTTTTTTTTTTTTGGCTTTTGGTATCTCTGTACATTCACAGAGCTAGAAAGCCAACAGAAGGTGGTGTCTGTTACCAAGTCAAGGCATCACTCATCATTTATGTGGATGGTGTTAGTCAAGTGAAGATAGGAATTGTATCTCCTAGCAATGCACTCTTAAGAGCCAATTGCAGAAATTTTCTAAAGTAGTTCATCAGTATTTTAGCAGTAAATTACTTAATTCTTCCAGGTGTGAAGAACAGCATCACCACACATGACATCATGGTGCATCTCTGTGGATAGCATGAGATGCAGAACTGTGGCAAACAGATTATAGTCTGAAGATGGGGAGAGGGTTGTCTAGACTCCTGGCTATGAAAGCACTTGAGGCTTTGTTTCTTTTCCCCCATAGGACTTGCTTTTGATGGCTTCCTCATGTGCATGGAGCCCTTAGCTTATTCATGCCTGTAACTTATTGGAGCCATGTACTTCCTTAGGTGTCTAGCCCATGGTAGGTAGCACTGGAATGGCTCAACTTTGTGGTTTTTTTTTCTTGTCCCTGCTTGCTTCAGTTCCCTAATGGGGATGAGAGAAGGTTTCAGAAAGGTTACAGAAGTGTTCTGCAGAGGTTACCTCCTCTCATCATACAAAATCAACACACTTTTTTTTTTTAAACAAGATTGCTTAAGAAGGATTCGGTGATAGTGCTGCTCTGGTAACAGCACTGAAGCTTTATTTTGGCTATGGGGTGTACAGATGGAAAACAAAGAAGGAAATGATAGATCTGTGCTTAGGGCTTTGTGTCTGGTCAGTTCCAGGCATGTGAGAATGGAGGTTGTGGTAGAAGCCAGTCATATGTTTTTAATCAGGATAAAGCTATTTTTCATAACAAGTCTTTCATCTTCACAAATATTTACTTCCTTGATCTCTGCTTTGCTCTTGTCGTAAACAAAGCAAGCACCTGCTGTACTAAAGTCTGGTCCAGTCTGGTTCATCCAAGTACCTGTAAATGCCCCCAGTTAGGCTGAAAGCAGCTCAGCTATGGCCCCAGGCTAAGTCTACCTGGCAGGAAGAGTTGTTCTCTTGCTCGTGGCTGCTGGAATGGGTGCACAGAGGTACTGCTTGGGCTCCAGTGCCATTCTGCAAAGATTTGCAAGACAGGGATGCTTTGGGATGAGAGTCTGTTCTCCCAACCACTTCTCATGGGCAGAGGGTTGGCTTTGGACTGTATGTATCAGTGGCCAGGCTCTCTGAACCAGAGGACAGGGACATTCTGCTAGGTGACTGTCACACCACAGGGTGTATATTGCTGACCTTCCCTTTACACCTGCCATGCCTGCATGGGTGCCTTTATGCATTACCTTGGACAAGACAAACCGAGGTGGGGAGTTCCTATGTTTTAGAGGTCCTGAGCAAAGCTGATAGCTTAACTGCCTGACTGAAGCTTAACGCCTGGCCAGTCTTTCCTGAATTTTATATTTATACACTTGAATAACACACCTGTAACTTGAACTCTGGAAAAGGCAGACCCAGGAGAGGAACCAAGGCCTGGCCTGCCTTTGCTGCAATTCCAGATAGCCGCTTTGAGTGACTCTGAGCCTGTTGCTTCCTGGCTGAGTGGTAACATGAGGAGGGGTTGGCAGGATGGAAGTCCCTTACTAAAATTGAACCCAGCTTATTTATTTTATATATATTTTTTTATAACAGTTTGTGAAACAAGAAAGCAAGTCATTGGTCAAAAAGGGGTTGAAAGCCACTGGCTTTGAAGGATAGGATGTAATTCTGCTAGTGGAGTAGTAAGTTGCTTCTAAACTTGTAACACTCAACCTGGTCGGTTTGTACTGGAGGGAGTTTTCAACGGTTAAAGCTGCTTCCTGGAATAAAACTTGAAACCCCCAAGCTACTCGCTGGATGTCTCGCTATCTTTGGCGACTAGGAGCTGCATTTAGGGGAACAAAGCTAATCTTTGTCCTAGGTTACAAATTCCAACTTGGTGGGTAGCGGTGGGGCGGGCGGGGGGGGGGGGAGTGGTGAGCTGGCTTGAGGAGGGACTAAGCAGAAGCACTCAAGTGGCTCTGGAAAAATTGCTGGAGTCACAAGCTCTTGTGGGTTGGGGCCAGCCAGCTAAGCTGCCTGAGTTTTGCACCAGGGGAACTTGTTGGCAACAGGCCTGTTCTGAAAGCTGTCAAAGCAAATGCTGCTCCCCTGCTCCTTTTTCTTGTTCTTGCTAAAATGAGGATGACAAACTGAACAGAAGTCAAGACCTCAGTAATTACAGTGGCCGCCACAAAAGCAGCATGAACTCCAGTTCCCATTACCTAAGTTTAAAGTGTTAGCCCTGCATCAATGCGTTCAATTAAAATGTGACCTACACATCACAGAGGAGCAACTATTTCCAAGTCCCATAATGAAAAGCAAAGGGGTTGGCACCTATCATCTGTGGGCATTACTTGTATCTAGTCCCTTCTCCATGTATTCTTTTTCTATTCATCCTCCTAAAGTCAAAAGCAGAGCTAGTCATGCAGCCCAGAATCTAGGACAGTCTTTGAAACATCTCTCCCATGTGGTGGTATTTCCTACTCACCTACTTGGTGATGAGCTTCTGATTAGAGAGCTCAGCAGGCTATTTCTGCAATCAGAAATACCTCCTTATGGAGTGAAAAGACCAAGGAAAACGATCAGGCTGATTAATTTACTAAGTGAGAAAATGTCTCCTGCCCTGCATCCTACAAGGGAGACTGCACGAAGGTAATGTGGATTACAACCACCAGAGAGTGACCGTACCTGACTTGGGGAACGTCTTGTCTTTCATTGCAGAGGTTCATGAGTGGACGGCTCTGATGCATCCTAAATGCATAACGTGTTTGGCAGACTTTCAAGTCAACCTTGTAGGGGTACATACATAAGAGTAGGCTTCTGTGGGACTTTATGTCGTGCGGTTGGTTTCACATGCAGACAGCTTCCCTTCTGTCCTTCAGGAGAAGGTGGAAGTGGGCAGGGGACCTGTGGTTGACTTTTTTTTTTTTTTTTTTTTTTGGAAAACCTTGACTTGTAGCCTCCTTCCTGGATTCTGTGATTTTTATCCGCTTAGTGATGCAAACGTCGTGACGAATATTCCAGACTGTTGTTGGAAAGAGGATATAAGAGCCTGTCAGAGCCTCCCCTCTACCAAGCTTAAGCTGTTTTATGCAAGTCCTGAAGTCTGAAAAATAGAAATTATTAGAATGAGTTATGTTCTTGGTGTGCGTTGCATTGCCTGGAGGCTGTGCAGCTCTCAGGTGTACTTAATGTTTTCTTCCCGATTTTGCTTTTCCTAGGACTGACTCAAATCCCCCAGGTACAAAAGACAGAAATTTCCTTTACTGCCTCTGATCCCAAAAGTTTTGAGCCGTATGTGAAGAACCTTGAGAAGTTCTTAAAGGACTATAGTGCTGATCAACAAACTGAAAACATAGTATTTCAGGACTGTGGGGGTAAGTCTTGATCCTTTCCTGAGGGCTTTGACCAATGCGTCGGGTCCCTCAGAAGCTGAGGGTGAGCAGTGGTGGTCTCTGTCTTTGGCCATTCCTTTTACCGTAACCAACGGCATGTTGGTAAACTGGCAGGCTCTGGTTTCAGTCATACGGCTGCTCATTAAATTGGTTTGGACAGACCAGACTTGGCCAAGGGTCTACCTAGAAGTTTATCATAGAGGTTATATGGTTGGCAACTCCCAGATTTCACTTGGAGAAAGTTGCAGCTGACTCTCAGAAGCATGTGGCGCTGACCTTATCCTCTCTGAAAGCCCCATGGTTTTACTGACAACTTTGCTAAAGCCAGTGTTGGTCCTCTTGGTGCAATGCAGCAAAACATCTGGGAGATGTTAACTGTTAATAGATTATATGTAATAATGCGAATGAGACTATCACCTCATAATATGTGCATAGAAAATCTGAGGGGAACCCGCTTGTTAAAGCTGCCCCAAAAAAATCTTTGGGCCAGTGGATTACAAATGTGTTTGTTCTCTTGTCACCTGGAAGAATCCTCAGTTAAAAAACAGAACCCCTGCAAACTTGCTGGTCTGGGACCAGCCCACACGGGGGTGGCTGGGTGTCAGCCTCAAGAAGGTGATGTCACTTACCTGTTTGGGCGAGGGGGGAAACCAAACTACACAGTGAAGCGTAAGTGTTGCTGTTCCTGACAAGCAGATCATGTTGCATATGGTTGTCTTTTCATTCCCCCACCATGACAGAAACACCTACTGATTACAAAGAGAGAGGACCATATAATGATGCCCAGGGCCAGAAGAAGGTCTGCAAATTCAAACGTGAATGGCTGGAAAACTGTTCTGGAATAAATGATCCTACCTTCGGGTACAGGGATGGCAAACCATGCATCCTGGTCAAGCTCAACAGAATTATCGGCTTCAAACCTAAGGCAAGTATCTCTTCCCTTTCTAGCAGAAGCTACTGACAAGGAGGAGGAATTGGTTGCAGTTTTGCTGTGCCTGCTTTGCCGTCTCTGGAGAGAGATCAGTATTAAACCCCTTCTGCAGAGCAGAAATTGTGAGATGATCTGAGTAACTGGCTTTAAAAATACTTTTCATTAAAAAGCAATGAAAACTGCGCACGGCAAGTTGGTATAACAAGTAGCAATGAACCTCACAGTGCAAACTCCCGGTTATGTGCCTGGTAACTTCTGAGCCTGCTAACTGAATTGCTCTAAAGGGGCGTTTTCTTCAAATGTTATACCTATTTTCAGTTCCTGTGTGCTTCCATGCGACTGTCCCAGACTGACTCTATCTGTAGTGAGATCAGTACATTGTGTCATGCCCTGATCTACTACATTCTTTCCTCAGGCAGTGTAGAGTTGCCTGCCTTGCTAAAACCACTTAATTAAATGAAGTAGTGCTAATATTAACTATCAGACTGAAACATAGGCTATAAGGCGTAAACTACATCTGAGAGTCAGGCACAGCTCTTGCTGCAAGGAAGGTGAAGAGATCTTTAGGTTATTTAATGCAGTTTCCCAGACACTGTAGGATGCCTCTGTCGCCCGCTTGCCCTGTGCTGCACCTGAAGGCATGTTTGCAGTAATGCTGAAAGATATTAATCTGGACAGGAACAGTTTTCACCTTTAGTTTTTTCCCCCAACACATTTAAATGCTAAAAAATTGTGTAAGAATTCAGTGGTAGAGCACATGCTATTGAATAAGGTGGTGTGCAAAACCTGCCCCTCCATCTTCAGGATGGAAAACAGTGCAAATGGTGTGCTAAGCCACCTTCACCAGCATCTATCAGTGCAGTTGAGGATGGGGAAGGGTGCCGTCTGGCTAACGAGTTGCAAGGGATGTTTTTCTTTGAAGGGAGCCTGTCCTGTGCAAAAGAAATGAGTTGAATTTTGGCTCATCTGATCCAGGGTGGAAACAGTGGCTGCATTTTAGCAGGAATGTGCTGTGCTTGGTATGTGGTGGCTGTGGGATGACATAAGATGTGCACGTTTGATGATGGGAAGAGAAGGGTTTGGTGTGTTTCTCTTTTCTTTGCCACAGAGCTCTGAAGAGCTCCAGACTGCATTAGGCAGCAGGGCCTAGTCAGGGAATAACTTTACATGTTTCATTTAGAAATGAGGTGTGTATCCAAGGCAGTATTTGTTTTCCTTGTTCCACGCTCCAGCAAAGAGACCCTATAGCTCTGGTGTCAGGCAAGGTGTGTGTAAAGCAGGTCTGAGAGTTGCAAGGTTGCGAAGCAAAACTACGGCACTTGTCAAGAGACCAATATCAGAGTTGGCACTCCCCACCTTTCCCTGACATACTCAGAGCCTTTGTCCTTCCCTGTAGGTGGTGTCAAAGTTCAGCAACGTCAGGGTGCGACTGCCACTCCTTGTTCCTTCTTCTGCATTTCCAGTCCTAACTGCATGCACCTGGCAGGCAGGCGGCGAATCCTCCCGCAGCGTGTCTCTTCCTGCCGCTGCCCGGGCTTTGCACAAACAAGCCCTGCTAGCTAGCACTGTGCCATGAAACAATTTCCCCGGCGACACCATGAAATTAAAAATAGCCTGGTCTGCTTGCCTTGGTATCTATCCACAGCAGTAAAGCTGTAAGAACAGACAACAGCTCTGCTTGGGTTAAGTTCCCCTGCTTCTAGTTGTGTTACGCTGCTTGTCCCTCCCAAGAACCACCACCAACAGCTGTTGCCTCTGAAACGGAGCTGAAGGGATTCCGGTTAAGGGCACGTGTTTGGTACCATTGACCTTTGCTGCTGCAAAGGTGCTGCAGTCTGCTAAGAAGTGACTGGTGTGTAACGTCCCCTTGTTTTGGCTTTCTTCTAGGCTCCGGTAAATGAGAGCCTCCCTCCAGAGGTTATGGCAAAATACAACCCGTATCTCATCCCTGTCCACTGCAGTGCCAAGGTAAGTCAAAATGCAATAGAGCAGAGTCGGGAAGCTGCAGGGGAAGAGTCCAGTCTTTGTCCAAGTGTAGTTACCCCTCTCTGCCTTTCTGCAGACAACAGGGGTGGTTCTTACTTGGGGTGTGTCCCCCTCTTTGGAACAGGAGTGTCTCAAAACCTCACTGATGATGGATGACAGTTAGCACTGCCCTCACAGGGAGGGGTAAAAGCAGGGCCAGATAAGGAAAAGGCGTCCTCAAAAGTAGCCATTTTGCTTCCAAGTGCTGTACTGGAGCTCTTGGCACGGTTGGCTGAAAAAGTGACTCCAGGGCAGAGCTGTTTTACTTGACGCTGTAAAGCAGCTAAGAGGTAAACTTTTTTTTAGCCAAAGAGGGCACATTGGTAAGATAGGAAGCTATGGTGGTTTCCAAATGTGTAAAGTGGTTGAGGCTTTAAATAAAGGGAAGTCCTTTTCCTGGCTGATGCATGCTGGGAGGTGCTTACTGAGTAGCTACTGGTTAGACAGGGCTTCAGTGTCCTCTCCGGTGTCGGGACGTCCTTGTGCTGTCAAGGTGAGGATCAGTGATGGCCGAAGAGAGGTCGCGGTCTTGGTGAAAAACAACAGATGCTGCTAGGGGCAAGGGCTGCAAAAGGTAGAGTTGGGTGATTGTCATTGTTCTTCCTTTTCCCACCTCTAGAGAGAGGAGGATGCAGACAAAATAGGCACAGTGGAGTACTACGGGATGGGCGGCCACCCTGGCTTTGCCCTTCAGTACTACCCCTACTATGGCAAGCTCCTGCAGCCGCGGTACCTGCAGCCGCTGGTGGCCGTGCAGTTCACCAACCTGACCTACGACATGGAGGTGCGCGTGGAATGCAGGGCCTATGGGCAGAACATCCAGTACAGCGATAAAGACCGCTTCCAGGGACGCTTTGATATTAAATTTGACATAAAAAGCAGCTGATTGTAAGCACAACTCTCTTCCCACCCCCTCCTGCCCCTCCTCCTAGCCATTTAAAAGGTTAAAAAAAAAAAAAAAAGAACAAAAAAGAAAACCTACTAGTCTTGAACAAACTGTCATACGTATGGGACCTACACGTAATCTATATGCTTTACACTAGCTTTCTGCATTTACTAGGTTAGAATGTAAACAAAGTGTAGCAATAGTGACAAATATTTATTCTACTGTAAATGACAAAAGAAAACAAAATTGAGCCTTGGGACATGCCCATTTTTACTGTAAATTATGATTCCATAACTGACTTGTAGTAAGCAGTGTTTCTGGCCCCTAAGTATTGCTGCCTTGTGTATTTTATTTAGTGTACAGTACTATAGGTGCATACTCTGGTCATTTTTCAAGCCATGTATTGTATCTGTTTTCTACTTCTTGTGAGCAAGGACTTTTGCTGTCCAAGGTGTAAATACTCAATGGGACTAGAACTGGCATGATACTTCTCATTATTTTGTTCCTTTTCAAAGAAAGGCCCACCTGTGAGATTATATTTAACAGCACTCCATAAGGCTTCTGACTTTTCTGTGGTGTTAGGGTTTTTTATTTGGAGGGGTGGCAGGGGAAACTAACTTAAGTGAAGTTAAAGAGAATAGATGATTGTGTACTGTGCTCTGTAGCGAATGCTGTCTCTCTCTCCACCTTTTCCCTCATCCTCCAGTATGTTGTGTGTGAGACTGGGTCAGACTATCACTCTCCTCAGTGATAGGCATAACTCCTTGCTTTGTATATTTTCTTTTTCTTTTTTTTCCTGCTCAAGGCATCGCACACTGTGGTGCTAATGTCTTTATTGAATGTTTTAACCATTTTCATGGTGGAAGAATTTTATATTTATGCAGTTGTACAATTTTATTTTTTCTGCAAGAAAGTGTAATGTATGAAATAAACCAAAGTCACATGTTTGAAAATAAATCTTTATTTTAAACTTTATAAAAGCAATGCAGTACCCCATAGAATGGTGTTAAATGTTGTCTAAAAGTGCAAAACTCTATGTTCTAACATGTAATAATAGCCAGGAGTACAGTGCTCTTGTTTATCTTGTATTTCAGTCAGGTTGAAACATTGGACAAATAAACGAATGAACACACCCTTCTGTGTGCATGTCTTTTGTGTGGGTGAGGATGGAGGCTGTTAGTTGTCCAGAATCTTGAAGAAGTACTGCACCTATTTCAAACAGAAAATACATCTTTATCATGATGGAGATAGTTGAAACATGCCTTGGGGTTGCCTTCAAGTGCTGCTCCCACCTGTGAGCAAAGGTGTTACACATCAGCTCTGGAACAGCGTGGTTTGGTGTTAGTTACCTGAAATTTTTCCCTGAGCTGTGAGCTGCATTAGAGGCTGCTGTGGCACATGTGCCCCTGATCACACCAGTCAGGAACCCAAAAAGTCTTCAGTGTATTCGCCATTACTGCAGGTTCTCCAGGTCTGGAGCCACAGGCCACACATTCTAGTAGTAACTACAGGTAAAAATTGGTTTTATCCGTAGGGTGGGTTAAAGCACCCACCAGTGGTATGTGCTGCAGGTCCAGGGGGAGGGCGCACACTGAAGTCGCAAGCGGAAGAAAGAGTTTTGGGGCAGCGACTTGTTCTGTGTTGCTGCTGGGCCAACAGTGAACAGGCTCTGCCTGACAGGGCTGCTCCGATGTGACAAATGTGGCAGCTGGCTTCCTGCAGGAGCCGAGATCACTTTATGCTGCATGACGCAGATTACCAGGGAGAATTTCTCTGTGTAAAGTAACAAAACATGACTATCCTAGAGCAAGCTGCTTGATGAAGCCTTTCTCATCGGAACGCACGATACTGGAAAAGCAAGCTGCTGAACTTTTTGCCATCTGCTAGAAGGAAAAGCGCAGTTACGGTAGGCTATGGCAGTTAGTGTATGCTTTTGGCTGTTTCATGCTATTCCCCAGGAGCTGGAGGAAATCTCACCTGCAACTGTTTCACTGCTGCTGTATGTTTATAGTGCAGCAAGGATTTAACAAAGACGCTGTGATTAAAGCGCTAAAACACTCCCCAAAGCAAGCTCCACTTGCACAAGAGCTGCAGGAAAGCTGAGCCATTTTGGCTCCCAGCAGTTGGTGGGTGTACTACTGCTGCTGGTTTTGGGGGTGTGTGTGCATGGCTCAAGGTTTGTTAGGATCAACTGCCCCTACAATTCAAGTCTTAGGTGCAGAGCCTGGGGCAGTTTAAAAAAAACAAACAGCAGCAACAGAGAAAACCCCAACTCTGAACTGCTTTATAAATAAAAGACCCAACTCATGGTTAGATAACCTACTTCCTTTTAAGTTACTATATGAGCGCAAACTCCAAGCATGAACTCGTAAAAAAGTTGACGGCTGATTCCGGGGGATGGGACAAACATTGTAGAAAATGTACGGTGCCTGGAGTGGCTTCAGTGAGCAAGTGTCAAAGGGGGGGTCAAATAAGGTACGCTTAGTAATAGCATATGAAATAAAGCAAAAGCAAACCTTTACCCCCTCCCCCAATCACTTTCTAGTACCAAATCAGTGAAAGCAGGATGGCCCGCCCTGATCACTAATTAACTAGGCAGTAATGGCAGTAGCCACCCTAGCCACACACCCTGCAGCCACCCACTGAAAAGGCCCAACTATTCACAGGCCTCACGGTAACTCTGCTATCAGAGGGCCGCTTCCACCCCCAGACAACCCCCACAACCCGGCACGTCCCCACCCCTGGGGAAATGCTGCTGGAATTTGTCAGCCCTAGTAGAGACACGGCATTAAAAGGCTACAAGATGGTTAGGGAAAAACAAACAAACAAACAAACCTACACCTAACAACCAAACCAACACCTCCTTCCCCTCCCCCCAAAAAACCCAAACAACTATCCACCAGCCGCCCCCCC